AAAAAGAAAAAATACACTGTCCCAAGAATAACCCTGAGTCTTTCCTCCAGAGGCCCTAAACCCCGAAAAGATTACAGGTGAATGGGGTGTTTGTGGGACAGAGACAGAATCAAGGGAGGTTGCAGTGGATGGTGTGTGGAAGGCCTTCCAAGGCAGAAGACCAGAGAGCAGGCTGAGCTCAGATATCAAAGGGCGTCAACTGCCACACAAAAGAGTTTGGACATTTTCTATAGACGCTGGAATTTTCTAAGCAGAGGAAGACAATACTTGGCTATGTGTTTTGGAAAGATCTCTGGGACAGCTGTGAGGAGAAAGGACTGGAAAGGCTAACTCACAGAGACGGAAAACCATGAGGAAGCTCTGTTGAGCATCCAGGTGAGAGAGAACCTTATAAGGCCATAAATCAAGAAACACCTGGAAGAGTGGAGAACATGGAGGAGACAAAAGTCAGAAATGGTGAAGACTGAAATCAGCAGCTGAAGATTTGAGCTTGAGTAGCTGGGTCAATATGATGCTGGTTTCCAGGGTAGGTACAGAAGAAGTTTGTCCAGGGACAAAACAGTTCAGTTTTGGAATAAGTTTGAGATACCCATTGGGAAAATTTCACTGGGAAACATAACTCTCATTCTTTTACTTATTCAATAAACATTTATGGGACTGATGTAAAGTAACGTTTTATTTTGCCTAAGTAGAAACATTAAATAAATAAAGTAATTTCTATTATTGCCATCATTTCAAATAACATTTGCTACCAAAAATTAGGAAGAGCATACTCTCAGAATGAAGGACAGCCCTTTATAATTTTTGTTTTTTGAGACAGAGTCTCACTCTGTCGCCCAGGCTGGAGTGCAGTGGTGCAATCACGGCTCACTGCAATCTCTGCCTCCCAGGTTCAAGCGATTCTCCTGCCTCAGCATCCAAAGTAGCTGGGATTACAGGTATGTACCACCACGCCTGGCTAATGCTTGCATTTTTAGTAAAGATGGGTTTTTGCCATGTTGGCCAGGCTGATCTTCAACTCCTGACCTCAAATCACGTTTCTACCTCAGCTTCCCAAAGTGCTGGGATTACAGGTGTGAGCCACGGTGCCCGGCCTAGTTCTTAATAACTGAATAAATTTATTTAGTGAAAAACTTTCCTAGTAAAGTTTTTCTCATTTTGCCATGAAAACATTGCTGTATAACATCAGCCTGGTCTGTGGACTGTAACTGGAGAGCCACTGATTCGAGAAATGGGCAGAGGAAGACAGGCCAGCAAAAGAGACCATGAGGCATGATTCCAGAGGCAGGAGGAAAACCAGGAAAGTGTGATCATGGAGGCCAAAAGAGGGGAGAGTTTCAGAAATGAGGACTTGGCCAATAGTGTCTTTTGCCACCCAGAATTCAAAGAGGTAATCAAATTTGGCAATTTGGAGGTCATGGGTGACCTTTGGCAGAGCCCCTTCACTGAGATAATGGGACTGGGGCCAATTTGCAGTTGGTTGAGGTGTGAATGGGAAGGCGGGAAAAGTGGAAGTCTAGTATGTAGACTACTTTCAACAAATTTCAGAGTGAGAGACAGAAAAAAGAGAGAGGAAAGGAGGGAGGGAGAAAAACAGATTGAGAGGGAGAGAGCAAGTTAGGGGAGCAAGAAAACACACAGTGGAGGGGGAGTTCTTGCTTTTTTGCGATAACAGAGACAAGCATTTTACAGTCAGAAGAGAAAGAGCTGTTATAGGGAAGCTGAACTTTCTTGAAGACAAGAAGCATAACAAATGGTTGGAGGAAGGGCCCAGGAAGGAGGTGGATGAGGCCAAGGCCCAGGCGGAGGGATTAGCCTTTAACTAGAGGGGCACCTTGTCCCCTGAGAAGAGAGGGCTGGAGGGGAAGGAAGTTGGAAAGGCAGGCCAAGTTTGAGGGGGTAGTGGGGCAGAGAGCACTGAGGTAATTCACGCTTGAAGGCCTCTGTTTTCTCAGGGAAGTAGAAGGAGAGGTTATTCCGTGCAGAGAGAGGGGAGGAGCAGGAACATGGTAAGGAGCTGAAGGAAGTTTGGAATGTGGCCAAGCTGAATGTGGAGGCTGGAGCTGGGGCCTTGACAAGGGAACATGCTCAAGGATGACTGAGGGATGCCAGCGGAGCAGCTGAAATTCTTTGAGTCTGCCGTCTCCCTGCGGGTCTTGTCTCCCTCACTAAGCTTGAGGCAGAGTCCACGGCACTTTCCTTTCCCATCTGTCCCCTCGCTAGGCAATGCTAGCCCAGTTTGGCCCAGAGGAGTCACCCAGTACTCTCAGAAAGGTCTAGAAAAGCAATCACTGGCAAAACCCAGAAGCACTATAGTGCTGTTACGGGGAACAGAGGTAAGATCCTAACTGTTCTGATAGGAAGTTCTCCATCTTGGTTGATCCAGACCTTTTCTGCTACCCTGCTGACCGGTTTACTCCTGTTTTGTGTTAAGTGAAAAGGAGAACAGCCAGCTTTTGCCCGGCAACACTTGCAGGCCTTAAATCTTACAGGCCAGGAAAAAGCCAATAAGAGAGCCAGCGGCTTCATGTCCCACAAGCTAAATGAGGCCGAGGCAATTCCTAGGAGGTAGCAAGACAGAGCCATTACTAGGAAGGACAAAGCTGTGGAAACAGGACTGAAGGCTCCCTGGGCTCCAGGAGAGCATGTTGGGAGCTGCGTGTAAGCGGAACCCTGAGGACTGCTGCTCAGGGGAGTGAAGGGACTGGACAGCTCCTAATGTGAAGGGAGTGACTGAAGAAACACAAGTTGAAGGTGGGAGGTGGCATGATGGGTGGCGTGGTTGAGTCTGGTCAGGCGTGAGCCCAGAGCTCAGGAGGAATATATCTGCCTCTTAACCCTCTCCCTCCTTCCTTCTGCCTATTCTCAGAGGCCACTTAGAGGTGGAAAAGATCCTAGAGTGTGACCACAGGTGTTGTGCTTCTTTCTCCTTTGCACTCCATCTTCCATCCCAGTCTTTCAGCCTGGCGCCTTCTCTCAGCTGCACTCCTCCTTTTGCCAATGATGCAGTCAGTATAAGCACACGCTCAGCGCATGCAGGTAAACTTAGCAAGAATTCTCAGAGACTGATAGGTGCTCCAGCTCCCCAACAACCCTCTCTTTCCCCACAAGATTTCCCTCTTCAGGACCCAGGATCCAGCTTGCACTTAGAAAATTCAGGGACAGAGAGCTCACTCTAGTCCAAGGCAGCACATTCCACTGAACTCATTTCACCTCATATAATAAACCTCTGTTTATTGAGGGCTGGGACTGTGCCAGGCCCTTGGGTTAGGTGGTGACTGAGCCGTTAGAAAGTTTTCCTTTGAGCCAAAATGTGTCTCTCTGTAGCTTCCAGCTATGGGCCTCAGCCCTGCCCTTTGAAGTCACCCAGAACAAGTGTAATCTCATTGCAGTCTAATCCTCAGATATTTGAAAATATCTATCATTTCCCACAGCTTTCTGTCCTCTATGGATAAACATTTCTTTCTTGGTTTATTTTTATTTTTAGCACCTTTCCTTTTTATTACTCAAATATTATCAGTTCATTGTGGAACTTTTTAGAAAATTCATAAAAACATAAAGTAAAAATCCATCCTACTGTTACTCCGAGAAATGACAGCCCTAGCACTGTTTCTAATCACCAGTCTTATTTTTTCTCTGCACGCTGTTCATACTACGCTTCTTTCTTATCAAATGGGATCATCTTGTAAGTATGATTTTAGAGGCTTATTTTGTTTTCACTCACTATATTGAAAAATATGGTAACTTTTCCCTCATTCTTCTACCATGCCAATTTTAATATGAAATTCTGTAACTGCCCAATGATTTATCTAAGCAACTTTAAAAAGTGAGACATTTAGGTTGTTTTCAATTTTCCTTTGCTGAAAGGAACACAGTGGGACTAGAATTGGAAGTGGGGTGAAGATGGGGGCTAAGGATGTTTAGCTTATTGAACATCCAAGAAGCTAAATCTGTGCTGCGGCTGGACACTGAGGTCAGAAGGAATATTTTTGAGATCTCTGAAGCATAAGGTCCCTGCCAGTAGGTGAACAGAGAAACAAGGAGCCCTTAAATTAGTCATGTTATTTTACCATCTGATTTTTTTTCATTTTCTGTGTTGTAAAAATTATACTTCCCAGAACATGATTGTGAGCACCTGCTTGACATTCAGCTGCAAGGATTTGGCCTAATTAATGTTACTGCTTTCCTATTATTGGATGTGGAGGTTGTTTCTAATTTTTGACCATTACAAACCAGACTGTGATAAACATCCAAGAAGCTAAATCTGTGCTGGGGCTGGACACTGAGGTCAGAAGGAATATTTTCGAGACCTCTGAAGCATAAGGTCCCTGCCAGTAGTTGTAACTAGAAGCTTTCTGGCAAAGGTCCAGGAGGCTGGCTAAGGCCAAGGACTCTGCTCTGGGCTTGCCCAGGTTCAGTACCCATTCATGCAGCCCCCATCAAAGAGTGTTCAGGCTGGCAGGGTCCTATGTGACCAATGGGTCAGCACCCTTATCTCTCACGTGAGGGAGCTGAGGCCTGGGGCTGGGGCTTGTCCTTCAGCACCTCTGCAATCAGGCAGAACTTTGCCTCTACCTAGCACCCTGGCTCTTGAACTGGAAGCTGAGCTCTGAGGTTTGGAATCTGACCCAGAGGTCCTGTGAAATCCTGTCTGCTCTCTTTCACTAGACCACTTACTGTTGAGGCTGGAGGGGACACTTTGGCAAATGAACTGCTCGGTAAGGGTCTGGCTGAGGGGCACTGAAAGAACACTTGAGGTTGACCCTTCAGGCAACTGGGCTTCCTCTACCCAGAACACCTTTTTTGTCCCTAACCCAGATGATGTGCTTAATGGCAGTCACCCTATATTCAGATCCACCTGGCAAGTCTATTTGAGGTTAAGCTGAAATAACAAGTGAGTCCCTCATTCCCCTTAAAGGGGTCAGCTGTCTCTTCTTGCCAGGAACTGGTTTTGTTAAAGGCCTGTCTATTCACCCCTCTGTCCCTGACAGCTCTGTGGTTTCAGAGTGCTAATGAGCTCCTCTCCTTCCTGTCTCAAGCCTTGCTACTGCCTGGGGAATTTACACAAATGGTGTGCGATTTGCCTCTTCTGTGTTTTCCTTTCTGACTTGGAGGCTAAGCAAATCCCTCACCTCCCACCGACACCATGTTTGTTCAACTGGGAGAGATTTCACACCCAGGAACCCAACTCTCCCTCCCTGAGCCCCTTCCCTAAATCCTTGTCCCACTCTCAAGTCCTCCCACCCCTGTTCTCCCGGAATAATTTATAAGACTGGGCAGGGCTTATAAAAGGGTCTTCCAGAAAAGGCCAAAAGAGTGCAGAAGGTTCTGGGAAATAGAAGACCCCACAGCCCGACTGGCTTTCGTTGCCTAAGAATGGACTCTCCTGTCTGTGCTGCTTCCGCCACCCCTGTTCCAGCCCTGACCCTGGCCCTCGCTCCGGCCCCAGCACAAGCCCCACTGGCACTCCCTGGCCTATTAAGCCCATCTCCTCTTCTCTCCTCTGGACAAGAAGCAGACGGGAGTGAAAGGTAAGTGGAGCTTGGCCTTTGGCAACCTGAACTTAGGCTTGAGGGCTTCCTGAGGGAGGAAGAAAAATGAGATGTCCAGGGCACCCCGTTCTCTATGAGGGGGTAAAGCAGTGGCCTCATAGCTCTCCCTTCACATCTCTAGCTGGAATATCTCATCTGGCTTTTCGCCTCACTAATCCCGCTGGGTGGGAAGAGGGGACTTGGGGACAGTGGGTATTGCCAAAGCTGAAGGCCAAGCAGCCAGGTCCCCATAGGCCAGGTGGCTGAGTCCCCTGATGGGGACGAGGAGACTGCCATGAAACCTGGGCTTAACAAAATCCAGACTGCGGGGGTGGGGAATGTGGGGAAAGAGGACCAAAGTCTAAAGAGTCCCTTGACTGGGAGATTGCCTTTTTCCTGACCACGCCATCAGATTTTCCATTTGCTTTTTTCCTACCTCTGTAAGTTCAGTGGGGTCGCATTGGGCCCAGGAATATTTCTGGTCCTCTTCCTCAGCCCAGGAAGATGGTAAGACTCTGAGCTCTACTTCTTGGAGCAGGAAGTAGGAGGCAAGATATTTTCCACCTAACCCCCATTCATTTCTCCAAACATTCGGCCTTCAACAAACATTTACTGAAACAGCTACTGTGTACCAGACATTGTGCTAGGTATTGAGGAATCAGATACGATTGAACGCGTCTTTGAGCTTAAGAAGCCCAAAGACAAGTAAATAGACAATTACAAAACAGCATGATAAGAGAAATAATAACATTACTGAAGCCGAGAGGAGGGGCATCTGTCCTGGCCTGGGCTCAGGAGCCTTAGGAAAGGCTTCCTGGAGCAGATGGCACCTGAGCCAAGCTTTTGGGAGGCCTCTTGTTATCTCAGGGAGCCCACATTTCAGTCCCTTCCTCTACTGATTGATCTCTCCTCTTGTCCCAGAGGAGCTTGTTTCTGGAGGCCCTGGCTGTCCTCCACAAATGACTCCCGAAGGTACATGAGGAAGCTGGTGGATTTGGTGAGTTTGAGCCCTTGTGATGCATGTTCACATGCAGCCATATGCATTCACACTGACCATGTCACTTCCCAGAGATGCCCCTGACCTCAGTCCTGGGCTGTAGATCTGAGATAGCATCCTCACAGTTTTGCCAACATTTGATTCCAACAGAGAGCAGATCCAAGTTTTCTGTGGCAATTGGAAAGATGAGGAGGCCATGGTTCAGCATGGGCCAGGGATCTGTGAGGCAGTGCTGGTGCTCGAGGCCTGGTCTCCTGGCACCTCGCTCCAGTGCTCTCCCACCCACAACCATCTCCCTGAATCTTTGCTGCTCCAGTAGAACTCTGTCCCCTGGAGAGCCTCCAAATAGGTGTTGGAACAGAGGCAAGGAAGCAAACAACCCTCAGAATTCTGTTTACCTGTTTTTCAAACAGAACCAAGAGAGACCCATTGTTGAGGGGTGGATGTAGGGGGTTGTTGGGTCCCAGAGATGTCTAAGGTCTTTTCTAGATCATCTTACCTGCAGCTTTCTGACCTCTGGTACAGAGGAGGAAGTTATCTAGCCACGTACTTTGAACCACATGCTAGCTCTTGCTTTGGACAGGCTGCTAGTGGGACAACAGCTGCTGAGGTCACCAAGGCTGAATCCAAGTTCCATCACCCTGTCAGGTAAGCTTCTGGCATCAAGCTCCAAACCTGACATAGATCCATTAGCTCTTTGAGTCTTCACAAAAGTCTTGTGAAGCAGGAGAAGGGAGGGACTGCTGGTTTATGACAGCTGTTTCATAGAAGAGAAAACTGGAGCCCAGAGAGTTTAAGGGACTTGGCCAAGGCTGTCTTTCCTGGAGGCAATGTCAATGACACCCAAGAATGATCCCCCATGGATGGGTCAGTGAAATAATCCTCAGTGGAAGTAGATGGGGACCACAGGGCTGGAAAATTCTTGGCTAGAAGCCTCCTGGGGTAGGTAGGGGGTGTGGTCAGAGCCACAATTGACAGATGCTGTGGCTGGGTCCCCCACCCACCACGACAGGCCCACAAGGGGTTACCTTCCTGTGTGGGGCCATTTTGTAACAATGCAGAAGGTTCTGTTACAAAGCTCTCTTTCTTCCTTTCCCTCTGACCTCATTGTTGAAGCCAAGAGACCTAAGTTAGGGGCCATGTTTCTTCTCTGTCCACAGGCTCTTCTGGCCTAAATCTCACTCCTTCGACTATCTGTACAGTGCTGGGGAGACTTTATTGCAGAACTTTCCTGTCCAGGCAACCATCAACCTGTATGAGGACTCAGACAGCAAAGAAGAAGAAGAGGATGAAGAAGAGGAGGATGAAGAAGAGGAGGAGAAGTAGGAGGCTGATGAAAAGGAGCCAGAAGGGTGTTTGAGGGTACCAGGGTCCATATCTTACAGCGCCATATAGCTCATTCATCTTCCCCACCCCTGGCCTATCCAAATGGAGGCAGCCAGAGTCTGATTGGGATTGTTTGTTAGGCAAGTTTCCACAGATTTCAATTAGCCAGGAGTATTAGTCCAGCAGATAGAGATTTCTGGACTGAAAATTGGGTCCTCTAGCTGCCCAGCTCACCCTGGCTTACCTGACTGCCTTGTGAGCCCAGACCTCTGGCATCTCATTGTCTGGGTTGCTGTTGTGTTGACAATGGGAGCGTTCTAGGAGCTCTAGAAAAAGGAAGGCTTGCTGAAGCCCCAGGAAGCAGAGCAGGACAGGGCACGCCCTTGCGGAGGGAAGTCGTTACTCCTCAGGCCCTTTGACTCCGCAGCCTTCCCAGGTGGCCGTGTAGTCCCGTCTCTCTGTGGAAAGCCTGACTTCTGGCTTCACCCCCAGGAATACCAACAGCAGATCCATGCAAGGTTGGGGTGCCTTTTTGATGAGTCTTACAGGAAGGGAAGGGGGCATGTAGAGAATCGGCTTGCTCTGAAGATGCCCCCCATTTTGCCTGCTATCCATTGAAGTCTGTGTGTTGGCATGAGATGAATCAGGAGAAAAATAAACTTGATGATGTTTTTCTTTTTCTTGGAACTGTGCTGATTTCTTAACTGAACTCTGCCCATGTTGTGAAGCCATGGGCAGAGGGTCAGAGACCAGCTTAAGGCCAATTCATTGCTGTCCCTACCTGAGGTCAGTTGATAAGTTTTTCTTCATGGGGATGTAGGGCTGGGGACCCAGCATGGGGCCAGGCCTACTCCATCAATTTGTGAAATCTGACTTGATTAAACTTCAAGGACATCTTGGAAAGGGAACAAAAAGGCTCCCAAAAGGCAGTTTGAAAGTTGGGAGTAGGGATGGAGGTTACAGGGCAAAAGTGACAGGTACAGCCTCATTTGAGTCTCAGAGCTGGCTGTGTGCATGTGGGGAAGAAGGCTACTAGGTCCTAGCAATTTTTTCCCCTCAATTCCCTTTGTATTTACCACAGCGCAGACCCTCATGCTTACCCCTGCTTCGATTATTCTTTGACTATTTTTTTTTGCCTCCAGTTGTCCCTTTGCAATTCATCTTCCGCACTGACCACCAGATGAGACCACAGCATACCTTTGCCAACACTGTTAAACTTATTTTCTTTTTGTCACAGATCCCCTTGAGAACCTGTGGCATCTCTACTCAGAAAAATATATATGTTCACAACACACACACACACACACACACACACACACACACACACAGTGGTATATCTTCACAAATCAAGTACTTAACTTGACATTCTAGGCCTTTCCGTTGTCTGGGTTTTGCCTGTCTCTTGAGACTCATCTCTCAACTCTTGAAGTTTACACTGCCTCTCCTTGAATGTGGCATGGTTTCTAACACTCTGTGTCCTTAACCCTGTCTGGAATGCCTTTCCACTTTTTCATGCCTCGTAAACTCTCATTCATCCAACAGAACCAACTGAGATACCCCTGCTGCAGGAAGCCTCCCCAGACCCCTCAGGCACCAGGTTGGGAGCCCCCACTCATCCAGCGCCTCCCCTACCATAGCATTTACCTTCTTTCCTGTGCAGTAACCTGGGGCTGTGTTTGCTATTCCCATATGATTTCATTGTACAGAACACTGCCTGGCACAAAGGAGGTGCTCAGAAAATGTTGAAAGAGAAAAGATTCTCAAGTCTTCTTAAAGTAGCTCTTGGTGGAACCACCATCGTTCCCCAACTTGCTAGCTTCTGGGTTTAGCTACAATGGGGAGAGGGTAATGTAATCTGATTCAGGAGCAAAACGATGACCATCCTTCTTTTCCTCCTCCCTCAACATGAGACCGGCTGCTTCTGTTCTGAGCCCTAGCTGAGACTTCCCAACATTGGATGCAACCTTGAGTAGACCACCAAACTCACACACTGGTGCCATCTATTGGTCAAAATTTAACCTTGTTCCTTAATTAAGGCTTCTAGGCAGTTGACCTTTGACTACATTAATTCTTTTAGTCTATTCTGTTTCTGTTTGTAAGTAAAGTGGAGTCTACCATGTGCTAGCAGTATGACCTCGGGCCGATTACTTATCCGCTCTGAGTCTCAGTCTCCTCATTTGTAAAATGAGGCTAATAATATTTCCTCTTGGAGTTATTGTAAGCAGCAAATGAGATAATATATGTAAACTACTTAGCATGGCCCCTGGCACATAGTACAAGCCCTTAACAAATGGTAGTTGTCATAGTGGTAGTAGTCTTAGTATCTGCTATTACTGATTTTATATAGGAAATGAGCTTGTAGACCAGAGTCAGCTAATGATGATTTACTTAATAACTGATTTTTCAGTTATCACCACTTGTTCGTCTTGGCACCATTTGATGGTTTACCAGTAAAAGCATCTTTGTAGTGTTTATTCCAAAATGAATTTTTAAAAACCGTAAACAATAATAATAATAATAATGAACTGAAGACAGAGGGCAAGTGTGATTCCCTGGACCGCTGTCTTCATTCAAGTGGTAGCCCACAGGTTTCAGATCCCCTTTTCCAAGGCCAGAGGTTTACAAACGTATTTTTTGTGCTTTCATAGCAAAACCTTTCTTTTGAATTGAATGCAGAAGCCCAATATATAAATCAAATTAAAATGGAGCTACACTGGTGGAAGCCATAATGGGGGGCCCAGAATTCCTACCCTGGTGTCTTCTCTCTGGTAAAGCAACTGTCTTCACCCCCTTTCTGTGAGGTACTTTCAGGGATCCCTAGGTTGTGGGAAGCATAATTTGGAAACCACTGTTCCAAGGGTTAAACCAGGATTGATTTGAAGTAGAAGGGATATTAATTAGTACTTTAAAATGCCCAGTGTTCTGTCTAAAATCCTTGTTTTAGGTCCTAAGCACCCAGCATTTCATAGCTCAAAAATTGCTCGAATCCTTATACCGTAGGTTATAGGGATTTAAAATCCTTGGAATCCCAATATCCTTGGTTTTAAGGTATTATATAGCATAGAATTACAAATCCCTAAATCCTCGGGGATTTAAAGACCCTAAAACCCTTGGAGCAGCAATTCTTAACTCAGAATGGGCTCTTCTCATTTCCCAACACCCCCCCACCCCCGCACACGTGCTGTTGTTTACTGGGCAGACATTTTGTCTCACTGTCCTCTGAGTCCCCTGTCTTGAAATGGCTTCCAATCCTCCTCCCCATATGTGGTTGCTAAGTGATTGGAATTCACTGTTCTGACTAATCAGAGCTCACTATGAGTTACTTTGTTATGGGTGTTTCCAATCCTTGTAACAACTTCAACTCCAGTGCACAAACTCAGGAGAAAAATCTCTGTGCAAAACTCTAGAGTCCTTCCTTCAGATCCACCCAGCTGTCCCATCCTAGTGTGCCAGCACTTCCCCATCCTAACACTGATTTCCTCTTCTTTCTCCCAACTTGTAGCAACAGTGAGAGGACACATCTGTTGAGGTGAGGGTGCATTTGAGCTCGGTCTTGAAGGATGGGCATGAGTAATAATGGAGGGAGAAAACTTTCCAGAAAGAGGCAGCACTATGAAGTCCTTCATTAAACAATATTTATTGAGCACTTACTATGTGCCAGCCCTTAATGTTGTCATGGTTAAGAGCATGGGCTTTGAAAGCAGATGTACCTGGGTTCAAATGCCTTATCTGCTGCATGCTGGCTCAATTCATGGGCCCACTTCCCTCATGTGTCAAGGTCAGCTCTCTGCTCTTAACCCTTTCACTACAACCTCTGTAGTTCTTTATTGTATCACACCTCTGCCCCACACAGCACATGCTCATTAAAATAGTTGCCTATTCTCCTCTGTCTCTGGGCACGGAAAGCCCTCTGTGTACCCAGTGGGTGTCACAAACCCCCACCTCTCACCCCCTCTTCGAAACTGTGCCTGCGTGACCCACCTAGTGGGCAGATAAGTTGTCTTCTTTCCTCCCCATTCCCCTGTTGTAAAATGGTGGCCAATCTCCCCAAACAAAGTTGTTAGGGGACCTGAATCCACTGTTTTGGCCTGTCGGGAACATGGTGTTGATTCCTGTGTTTTTGGCTTATCCCCCAACTGGCAAGCCTCATGACAACCTCCATGGAAACACAGAAACCCAGATACGGAAAGTGACAAAGAATGAGTGCTCTGACTGTGGGTGCCACAGCACTTGCTACTGACGTTACACTCATCACCTCGTGTGGTACTAAAATCACAGCAGTCCTAGAGATAGGTCTGATTATTATCCCCACTTATGAATGAGAAAACTAAGAGTTAGCTGGGTTTCTGTGCCTGGGTTTGTGCGCCTGCGTGGAAGATGCTACAAGCCTTGTCAGCGGTGATTTAAGTCAAAAATACAGGAACCAACACCAGGCCATGACAGGTAAAACAGTGAAGTCAGGTCACCAGTTTACAACAGGAGGCTGGAGAGGAGAGGAGCTGAACCGTCTGCCCACTAAGAGCCATACAGGCACAGTGCAGGGTGGGTGGGTAGGAGGTGGTGACAGCCACGGGGGGCGAGGGGATAGGGGCTTTCCCCGTCCAGAGGAGACTAGACAACAGGATACCTAGGAGGATAAGAGTTAGAACAGCTGATAATTCTGAAATTCTTATTACAAATCTTACATCGATTAACTCCTTTAATATAACAACTTTGAAGGATAGGTGCAGTTGGGCAAACTGAGGCTTAGAGTGGTTTTTAAAAACTTGCCCCAAATCACATGGTTGGTAAACTGTGGCACCTTCTAAGTGTCAGGCTCTTTACACATTTTACCTCATTTAATCCTTCTGGCAACCCTAAAGCTCAAGCATTATTATTTTTCTTGTTTTATGGATGAGGAAACTGAGGTTCGGAGAGGTTAAGGAATCTTAAGCTCACACAATTAATAAATGACCAACCCAAGATTTGAGACATGACAACAATTGCTCCAGGTTCCATTAATGGTAAGTGGCAGAACCAGGGTTCAGCGCCACTTGACTCCAGAGCCATGTGTTTTCAGGAGGTGGAATCAACAGGGTTTGCTGAAGGATTAAATCTGTGGGAGGGCAAGGGAGAAAAGGTTTAAGTTCTGGCTGCAGGGAAGTGAGTCAGAGGATATGAAGAACTCTGGGCCAGGGGCCAGGAAAAACTGAGGGCCTCTGAAAGGTGTCACTGAGGGAGGAATGTTTGGGGACCTCCTGCCTGGCAGTGGCAGGCTCTCACAGCACCTGGGCTGTGGGCACAGGGCTACCAGAGGTGAAGGGGAATGAGGGAATTCTGTTCCTGCCCCTCAGTGCTGCACTGCCTCAGAGTGGAATGGGCCCTGGCTGGGCAAGCCTCACTCTGGTTGAAAAGCGGGAGGAACTACCAATTGCTGAGCTCTCCTGTGCTTTCCCAGGCACTGTGCTTGGCACCACGCACACTTTATCCTGAACTGGGTGGTGGTGGTGGGGGCATCCTCATGTTTACAGATAAACTGGGACTTGGCTGGGCGCAGTGCCTCAAGCCTGTAATCCCAACACTTTGGGAGGCTGAGGTAGGCAGATCACAGGGTCAGGAGTTCGAGACCAGCCTACCAACATGGTGAAACCCCACTCTACTAAAAATACAAAAATTAGCTGGGCGTGGTGGCATGCAC